TAATATTTAGAATACAATCGTATGGATTTTTCTAAATCGAGGAACAAAATGTTATAGAAAGAGAAACTCGTAACAGTTAGAAAATTAACTCTTCCCTGGTATTCTATATACAAATGGATATTATAAATATCCATAAATATATATAATTTTTGAATATTCGATTTTAGTATTCAGCATAATTCTACGACCTCGCATTTAAGATATCTGAAGAAATACAATGTGATGAGAAAGTGAGAATACCACATTGTATGTATTTTTCATTCAACGAAAATCGATTTCTGTTACAACATAGAATTCTAAATATAACATAAATGGTTTATTTAAATGCATAGACATAACGTGTAAAAACATATAAAGTATACAGCTACTTATTGCAATATCCAGTGATTAAAATAAATCTATGCTTAAGCTGAATTTCTATAATTTCGAGAAAATCTGCAGTCTACTATTAATCAATTAACAATGCACGGAATTCATTATTAAATATAATGTACAAAAATATTAAAAAAAAAAAACATTCAAAGTATACTACTTATTATAATATCCAGTGGGTCAGACAAATCTCTACGTGGATTCCTGCAATCTCGTCTTAATCGAGAAAAGCAAAAATGACTTGAATGAATTTAAAAAATCCACAATTTATTTAATTCGTTAAATTAATTTAATCTCTATATTCTACACACGTACACTTTAATCGCTACATTCACCGATCTGTCGAAAGAGAACTTACAATCAATTCTATACCTTAATTTCCACATTACAACCAGTCTGTAGTTCAAAGAAAAAAAAATAAACGGAAGAAAAATCCTCATAAATCTCAGTCGAAAGCTTCGTTCCCACGAAAAGGAAATCTTCGCGCAAGACTAATTTCCACGCCTCGAGTGCGCCTCGACGATCGCTCGAACCCTCGAACATACCGCGTGGAAGTTATTCACGGCTGGAATCTGCGGATGAAAATTTCGCACGGATCGTGCGTTTCCCAGCTTGTTGACGCTTTCCTGGTCGCTGAAAGAGCAAAATGGTGGGGAGAAACACGAGAAAGAATATTTCGATTTTTCCGTCGTTCGGCGACCACGCGTGAAACGTGGTCAGCGTTGCATCAGAGTGGGTGGGAGAGGTGCGCGCGACCCACGAGGTTATCGTCGGCCTCTCCGTCTACCTATATCAATCCTAAGGCTCCACGTTTCACGTATCACGCCATGAAGCGTTGCGCAGGAGCCGCGGCGACGCTCTCTCGGATCTCGGCGCGCGATAATTTTATAAACGGAGCTACTTTCATGGAAAACTTTATCGTACGTAGCGGTTGCGTCATCGCTCCACGATCGTGGATCTTCGGTTTCTGTGCTCGGTTATTATAATTCTGTGTATTTGATCGTACCATATGAGAGAGAGAGAGAGAGAAAAAAAAGTAGGAAAATTCGGATCCAATCGACAAGTTAATCAAATTTTAGGGGATTCTTTTTCTTTTTCAATTGAGACATTATCGAGGTTTTTATTTTTAAATCTACGTTGTGATAGAGATCGAATCTTCCGAAATTGATATTGAAAAATATATTTTTTCGATGTCTGGCGGATTCGAATAAATTTGACATTTTTACTATTATCCGTTCTGCACAATTTTAAGTGGCAAGTTCACTCGTCAATTAGAACCTCGGTCACAAGAATTCAGATAAACGATGTAACCGCTGTGATATGTATCGATCATCCAGATGAAAAATCTAAAGATTGGAGTAACGAATTCATTCGGTAAACTTTTGCACATTGTATGTAATATTTTAAGATATTTCAGTATATAATTATTCTTAATTTTCGTAATATGCATATCTCATCGATATTGGAATTGATAAATTGATTACATAAAAAAAATTATCCATTTTTTTAAATAAGTAACCATCAGACAATCTCGAGATTAACGTTACTTAATCCTTCATCTATTTTGATATTTTATTTTATTTTATTTATTTTGTTTTAGTATTACTTTGTTTGTATTTCAAATTATAGTCTATACGTATTATTAGTTTTATTTATTTTTATTAGTCTTGGAACTTAGTTCTTGTATTATATTATTATTTTTATTTCATATCTTTGTTCTTTCATTTTTTAAATTTATACATGTTAGTGAATATATTTCTTCACAGCGAGATTAATTAGATCTCTACATTCGCGTTAATTTACGGAGCATTTGCCATTCTTAATAATAAAAATTTTCACATTTAATTCGTGTCGTATCTGACTCGATCTACGTGTTCAATTTTTGTCTGCGTCGCAATTTTAATCGTCAAATACGTCAAAATAACGTCAAAACAACGTTTGACGTTATCGATGTATGTATGTATCGGGAGATATTACTTTTTCCTAGAATGAAAAGCTAAGAAAGTTACGTCAGGTGATGTCATACGTTCAATATGTTTCACAGAAGAGACTGATATTTGTTTGATAATTTAGTACGCGTCAATTAAAAGAAAAGAAAAAGAGTATGTATACATAGTCAAGTCGATACTGTTGCAATACTATTCACGTGCAAGGTCTCGTTAGAATCATATAATAATCACGTGATGGTTTGGCAAACATTTCTAAGGCAT